AGTTTTTGTTTGTTGAGGTAAGCAACCTTTTTTCATTAAAAATAATAAAACAGGATTTATATAACAAAATATTAATCAGGAAAAAACCCTATCAAAGACTTCATATGCCAATTAAGCAAACTATAATTGAGAAATAATGCAAATGATGAAAATAAAATTATTGATTGCCCTGGTAGACATTAAAGATTTAGGACAAAATATATGATTAAACTAAACATTGCATGTTTTTACAAACAGAGAAATTTAAATATCTCATTTTTCTAGTTTTCCTAATTATACTTCAGAGCTTTAGGCTGCATGTAGCTTCAAGTGAGAGTTTTAATTAGGAGAATTAGGGAATGTAAGTAAGTGGACTTATATTTACATTTCCAGAATTACTTTTATACATTATTACTTTAAAATTAACCCACTCCTTCACCTGTTCATTCATCAGGCCCCCACTCTGTGCTAACCAAGTTCCATGCCAGGCAGTGGAAATTCTGCAGTGAATCGGGGAGTGTGAAGTCAAGGTGGTGAGCCTGCTATTAGTGGAGAGAGTGATATGCTAAAACTTTGATGAGATCATAAAATGAGTGTTTGTTCCTTCTAAAACAGAAGTATTTTAATTGTTCTTACATAGGTAAATGTAAATGTCTCAGATAGTACCTAATATTCCATCTTCTGACATATGTATATAACTGCCATAAAACTGGTATCAGCATGTTTCTCTATTTCAAAACACAGCCAAAGTAAACACGACATTAATTTTTCTCAGATGCAAGCAATTTTATACATACCGTTTTAGAATGTGATTTCACTCACACATACTGTATTTATAGTTTTTTGATTTTTTCAGGAGTTTATTATCTAGATTTAATCTCTTCTCCAAAAGTTCGGTATGACTTTCAGTTGTTCATTTGTGTTCTCAAATAATCTCTATTCTATTATAAAACTTGGAAGATTCCAGAAATTACTCCTGGAAATCTTAAAGGTGATTTGAGACTATGCAGCGAATTTATGAACTTCATAAATACATTGTATGGGAAGAGGACAACTTTGTTTCAGGTTGTAAATGTCTCTGGTAAGATTTTAGTGGACAGTCCTAGCCCAGGATCTCAATGACATCATAGACTTTGAAACAAAGCTTAAATTATTACATTATAACATAGAATTTTTATGCATTATTCTGATTCTTACCAGATTCTTCTTTGTGTCCAAAATGTCACTCTCTCCAATGAACAAGCTCAAAATGAATGGGCATTTTCTCAGTGCTAAGGATAAATCATTTCCTACCCAATTTTCTTATCATCTTAGTGTTGAAACTCCCATTCTTTTAACAATGTGATTATCCTCTAATCTTATTAAGGAATGAGAAATCTCATAAAATGTCTATACCTGGTTATCTCCCCTAAAACATTCTCATTTCACCAGTTTATATTAATTATATATTTTTAATTAACATTCCATCAAAAGAACATATCCAGAGAGTGGAATGGGTGGCCCATCTTCCATGATTATATAGTGAAAGGTAAATGAACTAGGATAAGGATATTTTAAAAGATGTGGTAATTGAAATTATAACAATAATAATCACAAAATGTTAATTCCAATATTTTTTCCAAGTATAGTTTTCTATTATAATTTTGTCCTATAATAATATAATTTATTGGGAATTTTTGTTAAGAATATGATGATAATAAACTTGTGTGAGTAATATGAAGCCAGAGAGGGTATGGGTAGGGTGGTTTGTGGAGGGCCTAACATAGGTAGACCAAGGTGTAGCAGTGGTTTTCTATTTGCTTACCAAGATTCAAGGCAAGTTTTGAAAATGCTAAACTACTGAATAAGAATTAAAGAGAAGTTTAGAATTTCACAGGTGAGAGATTAGTGTTCTCAAGTAGTATGAAATTGGTCACGAAAATGGTCCAATGAACTGACATGCTTTGCTCACCAGCTCTGCATCAGGTTCATATTTCTAAGTACCAGAATAAAATAATAAGCAGGGCAGACAGGGACACTGCTCTTATTAAGCTTATATCCTAGCCAGATTAAAGGACGATGACAAGAAGTATCATAAACAAGAGGACTATGAGATAAATTATACATAGGCTTCTTAGAATTCAGAAAAGGTAAAGAACCACGTGGGTTCCTTTGGATTAGGTTGCCAAGGGAAGGCCCCTGGGAAGATGTGGCCTTTCACAGGGATCTGAATGACAAGAAGCCAGCAATGCCAAGTTCAGGGATTGGAGAGCATTCTACTGCAGGCACACATCCCAAGCCAGGGCCTGGCTTCGCCTGTGAAGTCCAGGAAAGTCACTTTGACTCAGGGGGATTGGGTATGGAAGAGAGTAAGGAAACGTTGAAGCTAAAGACAAGCAGGGACCATCTCATACTTCAGGACAGGGTAAGGAATTTCATTTATGTTCTCAGAAGAATGAAAGGTAACAGAAGTGTGTTAGGTGGAGAAATAAGACCATTTGATTTATATTTTTAAAGGATTACTTTAAAATCCAGTGTGGAGGCTGGTTTATGGTATGGTGTGGGGAAAATGGGTTCTGAGCTTACTGTAGGGGCCCAGGGGAGAAAATAAAGTGTCATACATGGATGTGGTGATAGCAACAGACAGAGACAGAAGCTGGTGGGGTTGGCATGCATTTTGGTGGCATAAAGGTAAGCGTTTGCCTCTGGATTGGGTATTGGAGTGGAGTGAAATATAAGAGTTACCCAGGGCTGGTGGATATTGATACTGTCATTTTATTAAGATGGGAAGACTGGAGGGGAGTAGGTGAAGGGAGGGGGAAATACTTTGAGGTGTCTGTTGGGAATCCAGGTAGAAATGCTAAGTAAGCAGTGGGCCTTACAGTTCTGGAGTCCAAGGAGAGATCTGGATTGGAGACACAGACTTGGCAGAAGAGAGTTTAAGGGAAAGATGGTGAGTGGATGTTTTTAGTAGGATATATTTAAAATGACCTAAGTGAGCAATGCCAAATAGACAGTGGGTTATGAGGGGAGAGATCTGAGCTTGAGATAGTAAGGAGGTAAGAGTTACGTGTGCAATATGTGCTGGCAGCTCTACCAGGCACCATCTGCCTATTTTTAAACCTCTAGTCCTTTAATAGTTAGGATTCAAGGAAATTTGTTATTAACAATTGAGAGATGAGGAAACTGAGGAGCAAGGAATTTACTTGCTCAGTTAATTAATGGTGGCGGAGCCCAGTTCAAATTCCAATGGACAAAACCCAGGGTAGTCCCTCTGGACCCTGCTATAGCTCCCATCTTGGAAAAGTTTAATACCTTTTCCTGAAAATTAATAGTTTCAGCTTGAAAGGCAAATAGCTTATGGAATTGTTTAGCCATAAACTGGAATAAAGGTGTGCACTACAATTAGGAAATGTCCCAAAGCTCCTAAAATTAGAGGGATAAAAACATTTGTTGTTGATGTTCTCCAAGGAAAACAGGCTTTGCAGAACTGGAAGGAAACGAAAGTTGTTAGCAAGACTCTTACCTTGTCTCAAAATAACAAGAAAGAAAAAAAACCCATCATTTAGCTCTACTAAATCCACTTTGTTATGTCTAATACCTTTGAAATAATACTCTCAGCAATGGCTTTAACAACTTGGTCAGCCTGAAAGTGACCAGTAGTAGTTCTTTTGGCTTGAGGAATGTCATAATAATAATAATAATAATAATAATAATAATAATAATAATAGTAATACAAAAAATAAATTAACTTTAACAATTTGAGTAATAAATCAAACTTTGTTTTGATGTGTGATGTCATAAAAATCCTGTGATGGGATTATTTACTTAATACCAATCTATTTTTTCAGTGAGTATTTACTAAAGGAACCATTAACGTATCTCAATCTACTTGTATATTTGGAGCATATATATTTAAAGAGAGCATGAATACCTGGATTCCTCCAAAATTTATATTGGGATATAGATAAACTGGGCTAGGTTAAGGAAATGATTAAGTGTGTGAATAGAGAGCTTACAGAATGGGAGAAAAATCTTTGCCATCTGCTCCTCTGACAGGGGATTAGTATCCAGAATACATAAAGAAAATTTAACACCATCCCAGTAGCTAGGCAGGCTGAGCAGGGGCATTGTGAGTTCAAAAACAGCCTCAGCAACTCATTGAGACACTGCTTCTAAAACAAAATATAAAAAAGGGTTGGGGATGTGGCTTAGTGGCTAAGTGCCCCTGGGTTCAATCCCTGGTACCAAACAAACATAAAACCCCTTAACACCAAAATACCAAGCAATCCGACCAATAAATGAGCAAAAGAACTAGACAAACATTTCTCGAAAGAAGAAATACAAATGACCAACAAATATATTAAAAAAATGTTCTACAACCCTGGCAATCAGGGCGGTGCAAATCCAAACTACATGGCTATTTCATCTCATTCTAGTTAGAGTGGCCATCATCAAGAATACTTCCAATAATAAATACCAGCAAGGATGTGGGGGCACAGGTACTTGCATATATTGTTGGTGGGACTGTAAATTAGTGCAACTCCTTTGGAAAGCAGTATGGAGATTCCTCAAAAGACTAGGAATGGAACCACCATATGACCCAGCTCTCCCACTCCTTGGTATTTATCCAGGAGAAATAAAACCAGTGTTCTTTATAGTTATACATACATCCCAATGTTTACAGCAGTACAATCCACAACAGCTAATTTATGGAACCAGCCCATGTGCCCACTAACAGATGAATGGATAAAGAAAATGTGGCATATATACATGATTAGAGTTTACTCTCCATAAAGAAGAATGGAATTATGGGATTTGCTGGTAAATGAATGGAACTGGAGACCATCATGCTAAGTGAAATAAGCCAGACTCCAGAAGTCAATAGTCAAATGTTTTCTCTCATATGGAGAAGCTAGAGCAAAGTAAGGAAAAACAGTGTGGGGGAGGGGATCCCATGAAAATGGAGGGGAAACCAGGGGAGAGCGGGGTGGGGGGAGGGACAGGATAAGGGAGAAAATACAGGTGAAATAAAAATTATTCTATGTATATACATGAATATAATACAGTAAATTCCATCTTTATGTATGTATACAAAGTACCAATTTAAAGAAAACAATAAATAAATAGAAGGAAGGGCAGGCAGGGAGGGAAAGAGGAAGTACTGGGAATGGAAATGGAGAAAGCTATATTCCATGCATGCATTGTTATGTTACGGTGAGCCCCAATATTATGTCTAACTAGAATGTGCTAATAAAACATTTTTAAAAAATGAAAAGAAAGAGTGTGTGTGAGAGACTACAATAGAAATAAATGAATAAAAAGATTTACTTTGGGCAGTTAAAACAGCCTTTGGATATTGCAGCATGTCTCTGGCCTTTAGATATTAAACTCTTCTCCAAGAATCAAAAATTAGAGAATAAAACAACCCACTGGTGAGATATAAGCTCTCAGCAAAAAATGTTTTGAGAAAATGCAAGTATAGAAATATTACCCCTCAGTACAGTTTGCTGTTCCATTTCCTTGTCTTTCTGCAATTAGAAACATGCAGGCTGACAGCCGATGTTCGAGTCATTGAAAGGGCTGTGTTCTGGGTGTTGTTGGGTGGGAGGGTCAAATGATTTGTTCTTTTTATACTTCTGTTTGGAAGAACAGCCCTGTGTCTTTCTATTGGGAATGTCTGCCCCTCTAAGGTCAGCTTCCCTTAGACAGAGGCCTCACCAGGGCGTTAGTCAAGTCTTGGTTTAACCACTGTGTCCTGAAAAGTAAACAAAAGCAAACCTGAAGCCATGAGAGGGCTCCACAGAGCAGACAGCAGCACCTTAGAGGTGGCTGGAGGGGGCAGCAGAGGAGGCCACAACAGACACCTGAGTGCACCAGGGGCAACAGGTGCACAAAAAAAGAGGGGAAACAGAGGGAGGGAGAGAGGGGAGGAGGAGAGGACCAGGGGAGGGAGCCAGAATCAGGGGCCAGGAAGGCAGAGGCAGGAGAGAATGGAGCCAGGTGGGTGGGGAGGTGAGAGTCAAGAGGAGATGGGAAGGTGCATGAACCAGAAGGAGCAAGACAGAGGGCTGGGGAAAAGAAGCACCTCATTTGTAAAGACTTTGTCCAAAGCAGGAACTGAAGGGACATTAGTTTCATTCATTCAAATTAATTTCAATCTTATTTTTTAAAAAATCCTAAATTGTTCTGAAAACAAGGTAATTTTATAGCAAATCGTAGAGCAGCGTGGTGGGTTTGAACGTGGGAGGCCTGGCTTAACTCTGAGGGCCTGATAAGGGCAATGATGTGACACCACTAAGAGTGGAGAGAATAGCAAAATAGCTGACGCTCACTCCTCTCCCGCTCAAAAGCACCCTGCCCATGCCTTTCCTGTATTAATTCATTAGTTCTTGCAACCACCTTATGAGGTGATAAAACCAAGGTGCCCCAGGGTGTGGAACTTGCCCCAGGTCCCACGTCTTAAGGCAGAACAAGCAGGGCTAACAAGCCAAGCAGTTTGACTTCAGAGTTGAGGCTTTTAATCACTGTGTACCCAGCCTCCCCAAACAGATGGACACAGTCTACAGCAGGAGAACAGAATCACCCTTGGAAAAAAAAAATCCATCTTATTATTCATGATTTAAACAGTAATGATAACTAGAGAAATAAACTTCCTTCCTAAGATTTCTGAAGGAAAATCTGGGTCACTGAAGACAAAATCAGAAGAAAATAAATCTAAAGTCCATATGATCGGTGCATTTTGTGTCCTTTGACTGTGTGGCAGTTTTATTTATTAATTATAATGCAGATTTTTTCCTCTTCTTCCTGATTTTTTAATTTATATATCTTTTAATTTTTTGCACACAGACAATCTGTTGTTCTTGGGATTGTGGGGTTTCCTCCCTGGGGGACTTAGCTGGGGGGAATCACACCTGGGCTCCAAGAATGTGGAGCTAGAAAGATGAATGAATGGTTCCTGTGGCCACATAAGAGCCCCGTGCTAGTATGAGGTTCCTTTGACTTCAAATATTTTAATTGCTCCCCAAATCCAAAGTCACTCCTTGTCCTTATTGGCTGTGAATATGGCTCAGGTTGAAGAGCCTGTGGGGACCGAGCCCACACGGCACTTAAGAGCTAGAAGAAGAGGAGGAGGCAGTATTTGCCTTCCCAGCCCGTGCTTTGCACATTAACTGTGTTGTCCAGCCCTGGCCTTTCTGCATCAGCCATGTGAGAGGGTGAGGATCAAATGGGAAACGATTTTTAAAACTGTGAATTTCTCCATAAACAAGAAACACCAATACTCACTTTTTCATTATAGATGTCCCCAAGCATTGTACTCGCCTTCACGACATCTATGTTTTGAAAATTGCTCTTTGTGATGTTCACAACTTTTTTCAAGTATTGAATCGCTTCTGTCATCTGTCCTTGGCTAGAATAAATAAA